GCTCTTTAGCTATTAGGGAGATTAATCCTTGGTGATAGTATTTTTCTATTTGTATTGCACGTAACCTGTCTCCTGAATACGTTTCCTTTTCCTCTCAGATATATCATGGCTTTGAGATGGTTACAAAAGGCCTTCACTTCCGTAAGGTCATGGAGAAGCTCACGGCATAAACACCATCTACGGAGCATTTACCTTCAATGCACATTTACCCTTAGCTTTGGAGTCCCTGGCCCATTTTCTTGCACCATTTTGCCCTGATCTTCTATCCATTCAGTAAGATTCAAATCTGAGCAATCACAGGGCCAGTGCTGGTAACAGTGGAAACGGAAAACTAACAAGGCAGTGGCTGCCCCTCTGTTTTCACAGAGTCCGTGTGACATGAGAGATGTTTACAAGGCCACGGATGAGGTGTCCTGGTAGGTTTAGAGCTGGGCACATATCCAGGGCCTGCCACCAGCTGAGTGACCCGGGGCACCTGCGTCTCTCCCGTCCAAGGCTGGCTAGACGGGGCTGTGAGAGGAAGTGAGGCAGGTGTGGCTGCACCTGAAAGAGGCCAATGGTGGCTCCCCACCCTTGGGTTGCAGTTTCTCATCCTTAGCCATGCGTGCTCTGGCCCCCTGACTCTCAGAGAGGATCCTCTTTATCACATTCAGGGACTCTGTCAGCTCTAGTTGCCACGCCAATGCCAGAGGCTGGGTGGCTTAAACAACAGGAATGTGTTTCTCACGTCTCAGTGAGGTGGCCGCCTTCTCACTGGGGCCTCGTCTGGCCTTTCCTCAATGGGAGTGGGAGTGGCTGAGAGAGAAGTCACTTCCTCTTCTCAGGAGGCTGCTAATCCCATCACGAGGGCCTCAGCCTCATGCCTCCATCTAACCCTGATACCTCCCAAAGGCTTCATCTCTTTGGGGGGCTAGAGCCTCAGCTTCGGCATTTTGGGTGACACTACAGTCCATGGCAGCTGTCTTGAGCAGGCTGATGCCTGCATCTCTGTGACACTGCTTGTGCTGACAGTTGATGGATGGCTGTATGGAGAGAGGAGAGCCAGGTGGCTCTGGTGGGACGGGCACAGAGGACTTGAGGACTTGAACGCTGGTTCTGAGGGAGGACTCCGGCAGCTCTGGGCCAGCCCAGGTCCTCTGGGGTCCCTCCGGGCTCATGTGTTTAGGAGGGAGATCAGGGCGGCAATAGTGAGCCAACAAGCCTTGGGTGAGGCCTTGAGATGGCACAGCCTGTTCTCTCAGACTTCGGGAAGGTGACCCTGGGCACAGAGTGTGGGTAACAGAAATAATCCACAGACGGGGCACACCTGGGCTCGCATGTTGGCTTATACACAGCATTTCCTCCGCGTTAGGCCCTGCTTAGCACTTTGCAACGTCCTTATGCATTGGTGTGTCAGAGGGAACCACACCGGATGTGGCTGTAGGGGTGGGACCTTACGGGGGCGAGGGGAGCTGCAGAAGGGCCCCTGCTGGCTGCTGCCCCAGAATCTGGGCCTGAAGGCAGCAGGGCTGCCTGGAAGCAAGGAAACGTGGGTAATGAGGGGAGCAGTGCAATGGCAGCCTGGTTCCCTGAAAATGTTCTAGAGCCCCATCTGACCTCATCATCTCCACTTTGATACCATGGGTGGCTCAGGGCACAGAGACCCTGGAGGGGCCCAGCAGGGGCTGGGATGCTGGGCTGGCCACCACCCTCCCTCTAAGCGGAGCTAGTGGGTCAGCAGCACCTGGCGCCCTGCACCTGCCCCCAGGGACTAAGGGCCCACACTTCACTTCTGCCTTCCACACAGATGTCTCTGGGGCCAAGGGGGACTCAGAGCCACGGAGGATGGGAAAAAAACCACCAGGGGTGGGAGGTCTGCTCTTTGCTCCATCTGACAGTAGAGGGGAGAGGGGAGGCTCAGGGCGTGCCCAGTCACACAGATGTTCAGGGGGCTCGGGCTCCAGCGCCTTTAGTTGCGCCAGGTGCTTCTGCTCTGTGACGCCAGTAACCCGTCCCCTGTTCCTCCAGGAACCAACCTCAGAGCCTTGGGCCGTGAGAGCTTCTTGAAGATGAAGCTTCTGGGGAAGGACGGGTCCCACACACCTTCTCTCTTGATCAGCCACTCCGGTCCCAGCGCAGCCTCGGCCCTTTCCTTACATTCCCGGGCCTGCTTTGTCCTCCCTAGTGAGTCCCCTGTGTTCCTCCTGTAGGAATGTTACCTACTTAGTCCGGGGCTGACCGTCAGCACCTAGTGGCTGTTTGGTGGAAGAAGTTAGTGCCTGGCTCATGTGTTGGGCCGTCAATGACAGTTGCTACCTGTTGCACATCAGCTCTTGCCAGGGCTGTGGGTGTCACACTGCCATTTACGGGAAAGAGAATTGGGACTTGAGAGCTTGGTTTGTTTCCGTAGCGAGTGATGGGTTGTAGATTTGAACAGGGGTCCGCTGGCTCACCACTGCCCTTGGTCACTGACCCGCAGACAGCACAGCTTCCTGCGTTAGCAGACCCAGGTGAGGATGGCCGGGGCCACCGGGGCTCTCTGAGCTGCTTCGGGGCGGGGATCAACCCAGTGCCCTGGGTCCAGATGGGGTGAACATAGACTGTACCCACCTCTGGACAGTGAGGGATGAGGGCTTTGCAAACTGAGTGAGTGAACGGTGAGCAGAGTCAGGACTCAGCCTGCGAATTTGGGGGCTCAGAGTGCTTAGTTGAATGCCTCGGTCTGAAGCATATGGCCACCTGGGCCTGCGGATTTGAGACTCCCTCACAATGCCCGCACGGCTTCCTATGGCTGCGCCGTGGTCTCCCCGAGTCTGCCCAGTGCCTGCACAAAGGGAGTTTGATTTGGGGTCCTCCCGCACGGCCCCGCTCTGTCACCTCGTGCACATCAGGGACGTGGGACCTGCCAGGAGGCCAGGCTTGGCGCAGTCCTTACTGATCATTTGAGGAGGCGCAACTTCAGAAAGGCGACTATTTAAAAAAACTTTACAATTTGAAATAATTTTAGATTTATAGAAGTTACTAGACATTACAGAGTTCCCATACGCCCTCCATCCAGCCTCCCCTAAGGCTTAACCTCTCACATAGACAGCCAGGGTACCTTTACCCAACCAGGAGACTGCCACACTGTGGACAAGACCCTGACTGTCTGGTGCCCCAGCTTTTCCACGTAATGAGCTTTTCCTTCCCAGGATCCAGCCCAGGACACCAGCTGGCCTTGGTCCTCACGTCACCTTGGCCTCCAATCTGTGACAGTTCCTCGGTGGTTCCTTGTCTTTCATGACCTGGACATGTGTCAGAAGTAGTACTGTACTCAAATATTTTGTAGACTGTCCCTGAACATGGGTTTGTTTAATGTTTTTTCACAATTAAGCTGAGGTTCTGGACTTTTTAGGTAGAACACAAAGAGATGTTCTCTCCACCTCATATCAGAAGGCACGTGGTGTCAGCATAATTTATGAATGGTCATTTTACTTTTGATCACTTGCTGGGCTCTCCACTGTAAAGTTGCTGTCTTTCCCTTTCCATACCCTATGGGTTAGATACCAGTCACGAGTCCAGCCCACACTCAGGGGAGGGGAAAGTTAACTTGTGCCTCCCAGAGGAAGGAGTTGCAAACGACTGTGGACGTATATTAAAGCCAATCACCCCTGCCCTGGCCAGTGTGGCTCACTTAGTTGAACGTTGTCCTGTGCACCGAAGGGTCGCTGGTTCGATTCCCAGTTGGGGCACATACCCAGGTTTGGGCTTGATCCCCTGTTGGTTCTCTCTCTCTCTCTCTCTCTCTCTCTCTCTCTCTCATCAATAATAACATATTTTTAAAAAACCCACCAACCACCATTGGCCAGGATTGGGGGATGCTTTGGCACCATGCGGATATGCTGTTTCCAGTGAGGTGATTTTTTTCTAATGACTTTGTTCAGTTTTGAACTCAGGGAAGCGGGCTGTCATCGCTCTTCCCAACTTTCTGTCACCAGGTTAGTGAATTTGAATAATAAAATGCTTAGGAAATCCAATTTCCTTGCATATATGTGATGCTCTGTTAGATTTCTGCTGGCAGTTGCATTTTAATATTGGAGACTCTGGAGGCTGTGTCTCCTGGGAGGGAGCACGGAGCCCGAAGCCAGAGCCTCAGGCCTGAGGTCAGGAGACGGGGTGCTTTCTTTTGCATGTGACTCACTCGCTTGCTTGCGAAGGTATGGTCACAGCTTACAGGAAGTGCTAAGATTGCGTCAGTAGCAGACTGTATTTTTAGATGCCCCTCTTTCACACCTTGAAGGCTGTAGTTGAACTTCTAATCGTCTCCTGTGAATTTAAGGGAGGAATATGGTTATAAGTTGCTCCACTGATCCTTGGCCCTGTGGCTAATTTCATTGGCTCTGTGCTGAAGTGTTCTTAGGCCACTGGTGTACTTCCATGCTCCAAAATTCTTAACGACTGCTTTTTAAATTCTCTATGAAAAACTCTACCCAGAAGGCACTGTTTTTAATATTCTAACCAGCTCTGTTACTGATCAGTGATTGCCACTCATTTCGGCAGAATAGTGCAAAGGGGAATCTCCTATAGGAAAGGAAGCACCTGATGGTTCTAAGGAAATATAAGTCCGGGGCGTCTGGTTTTAATCACCTTTTCCATTTCCCAGGGACACGGGTAAGGAAGGTATGACAACAAGCAACGTAGCCGCCTCCTGGTGGCAGCACACACAACTGACTATTTGTCCTGGGAACCAAGCTGATCCCTGTGGTTCTCAACCTGTGGGCCGCGACCCCTTTGGTGGTCGAACGACCCTTTCACAGGGGTCGCCTAAGACCATCCTGCATATCAGATATTTACATTACGATGCATAACAGCAGCAACATTACAGTTAAGAAGTAGCAACGAAAATAATTTTATGGTTGGGTCACAACATGAGGAACTGTATTTAAAGGGCCAGAAGCTTGAGAACCACTGCTAAGGCAAGTGGTTTGCAGATGGTTTGCTCTAGCAGGTGAACTGCTGAAATCTGGACCTTTCTCTTCTAGGATGACTTCCTGTTCAGCGTCTCCATTTTGAGTGGGATCCTCTGCAGCACGCTGGCCGTGCTGAAGTTCATGCTGGGGAAGGTGCTGACCAGCAGAGCGCTCATAACCGATGGTGAGTGGGGCCAGCGCCTGACCTCCCAGGCCGGGGCGCAGGGCAAGTCGCCTTTAGTTGCTTGTCTTGCCGAAAAGGTCACCAGCTGGGGACCAAGTCTCACTAGCCTCGCCTCCTCAGGCGGTTTTATGATTCTCAGAGCTCCCTATTGGGGCAGATGGTGTGCCCTGGGACTGTAATAAATTCTTCAGGAATCACCTCTGCCCTGACCCCCAACAGGGTGGATGGGGGCTCCCTAGCGTCTTATCATGAAGCACAGAGGGCTTCCCAGAGTCTCGGGCTTTGTGGGCATTGCTCCAAACTGGAAGTGAAGGTCTCTTCTGCAATCCAGACAGGCTTTCTTTGTGGATTCTCATGCTCATTCCCCCTCCAGCCGTGAGACGCTCACCTAGCTGGGAGTTCAAGGTGCAGGAACCAGGGCTTTGCTGGGGAAGTGATCCACTGAGAACCCAGACCAGGTGGAGGGTCCCTGTGCCCCTAGGGGCCAGGGGGCACTTCCTGCATGGCCTTTGGGATGACAGAGAAGGGGTGTGAAACCAGGAAAAATGCATTTCAGTTTGTGAACTAGTGCTGGTGTATGAATAAGAAACTTTACAAACTAACCACCTGGCCATGCTCTTTTTCTCCATTCTTGAGCATGTGCAGTTGCCAGAGGTCATGAATACAGAAGCCTCTGTACCCTGAGGTGAGAGGTCAAAGGGTAAAAGCTTGTGGGGCTGGTGTGTGTGTCTGCACAAAATAGAGAAGAAATCACTGAATTTCTTTCTTTAAGAAAAGAACCACTCACACACACACCTACCCCAACTCCGAGGTGCTCTCCTCTGTGGAATACAGAGCAGGCGGGTGTGCATGGGTGGCTGTTAGTTCTGCTGTGCAGGGGGTGAATGGCAGTGCAGAGGGCCCTTCTCCCCCAAATAACAAAGTCCACTGTGTGGACTTGGACTCCTCGTCCCGTGATGATGCCCTACTGTGTATGGAGGTGGGCCTTTGCACAGTAGGGCTGGTGGGTAGGAAGTCAAAGTGGTATTTCCAGCTTTGCAATGACAGCTGCCCTGGGAGTATCTGTGTGTGTGTGTGTGTGTGTGTGTGTGTGTGTGTGGTTCCTTTGAACAGACCCAAGGAAATTGGGCCTTACATGATCCGAGGTGCTGACTGCAAGGCCAGGGGACCCTGGATGCCAGTCAGGTGACCACAGCCTCTGGCAGCATCAGAATTGCTATGGTGTTGGTTAGATGCACATTCCCCGGCCTGAGGTGGGTCCTGTCCATGTGATGAGCACAGGTTTGTGCTGCCTTCACACCAGCCTGGGGGCCAGGACACACTCCACACCCGGGAAGGTGAACCTGGCAGGGTCCCCCCTGCCATTTTGACCAGCAGGGCCTGCCATCTGCATCTGCCCTTGCAAGATGCCACCTTCCACCCTGTGCTACGGAGGCCACATGCCCATAGCAAACCCAAACTTTTTAAGTAGTAAGAGCTGTTTAAAACAGTGAAAAGGCCTGGCACCGGGGAGCAAGGCCTCTGCGTCCCTGCTCTGCTCTCAGGCAGCGTGCAGGCCCCCCTATGTGGGCCAGGCGGCCAGCCCAGCTCCTGGAGCTCCCCATGGGCCCCCGAGGGTCCCCCTCCCCCCACCAAGGGCAGGCCCAGGGAAGCCAGGGCTCAGCTGGCAGCAGGTCCTGGGTTTGTGCTGTTAGAGCGGATACCGCAGGGGCACTGACCGGCGGGCTCTGCAGAGTTCTTTTGAGCCTGGTGCTGCGCTGGTGCCACATTAGCTGGGAAGCTGCTCCTGATGCAGAACTAGAGTTTCCTCTCTTAGGGTCTGTCCTGTTGCTAGGAAGGGTCCTGCCTGGTCCCCAGAGGCGGGCTGCCCCTAGTTAAATCAAGCCCCTCTGGTGTGCAGAGCTGCGGCGCAGTCCCTGAGAAGCGTGCAGCCTTCTGAGACCTCTGTGGAGGTCTCTACCGCCCACCCCGCCGCCGGGCCTGTGGGCAGCTTGCATTCGGCTGGCCCTAGGAAAGGTGCTCGTTCCTCTCCGGGCGGCCCAGCTTGGGGGAGAAGTGCTCATCCCTGTGATTGTGTGGTCTGGAGTTTCAGAATCGGGGCAGGAACATGCCTCCGTTGGCCATGGAGTCCTCCTCTCCCCGGGGCTGACCAGTGCAGGGGGCTTGTGCCGAGAGCTCAGGGCTGCGTGCTGTGAATGGGTGTTCGGTGTGGGGTCCGCCACCTCAAGGTTCCTTCCCGTTGCTGCGGGGGCCACTCCGCCCGGGCCCCTTAGAGCAGAGGCCTGGCTGCACCTTGGTTTCTCCAGCGTGTGTTGTATGCCTCCTCATGTGTCTTTGCTTGGAACGTGGGTGCCGGGATGCGGAGGGCAGGCCAGGGGTGAGCACTAAGGAATAGCTCCTCTCCCAGGCGCCTTGGGCCCTAACATCACGAAGCCCCTGTGGCTTGCAGGGTCTCAGCATCTTCTCTGTCCAGACCGACAAGTGCTCTCCAGGAGCCTGAGGGTGGACCCAGCCGTCGGACCCTCCCACCCATGACCGTGGGCTTGACCGTCTCGGACGGGTGCTCTGCATCACGTGTGACAATAATCCCAGACAGTGTCTGTTTAGGCTTCGCTCCCCTTTGGACTCACCACATTTCATAGGGCGCACAGAGAAGACCCCAATGACAAGTATGATTTTTCTAACGAAATAACTTCTGACCAGAATTTTCAGACATAAGCAGTATTTCCATCATATTCTTGAACAGAGAGGTGTCATTACAAAGTAGATGTTTAAGTGAAAATTGTTCCCTAAACTGGAAGGCAGGGAAGAGTGGGGTCTGGGACACCTGGGGGGCTGCGTGAGGAGGGGGCACAGGGTGAGGGCTGGGACAGTGGGGAAGGGCGGGTCCTGCCGGACTGTAGGTCAAGTGTAGGATCCTGTGTGTTTTGCTAAATATTTAAACAGATGAGGAGACGTGCTTAATGTTTTCTAAACAGTCCTCTGGCCGTCAGATGGGGAACAGAGCGGGGCAGTGAGTGCCAAGCAGGGGAGGTCTGGGGAGCTGAGGGTGGTGGCCTGGGGGCTTGGGCAGCAGTGAGGGCAGGGGGCTGAGGATGTAGGGGGCCAACAATGCATGTCAAATGGACAGGGCTCAGGGATGAATGGGCCATGGGAGTTGATGACAGAGTGAGAGAAAGACAGACAGATACAGAGAGAACTCTGGCGAAGGGCAAAGCCTGTTACCCACGAGGGGCTGGGGCGGTGGGTGGTGTGCGCTGCAGTTCCTTGCTCGTTGGGAGTGTCAGCAAAATATGCAGTGGTAATTGCAGCCTCCTGCTAATTGTATTTTACTCATTTGTTGAGTAGCAGAGCTAGGGAACCATCTGTAATCATCTCCTCTTTGGGAGGTGGGAGAGAGTGGGGTCTGGGAGCCGTGCCTCTCATTAATGTTGGGGTTTCTGAGAGGCTGGCTCTTGGGGCCTCCACCTGTGCCCACTGCCCTGGGAATGTCCTCTGTGGTGTGGCCCTCTCTCCCCACAAAGTGCTTCGGTGCAGGTGGGAGGGCGGGCCCTGCCTGTCACCTGGTGAGTGGCTGGTTCCCACGCCGGAGCTGTATGTGAGCTGGGTCCGGCTGTCTGCACCAGATCCTGTATGCTGGGCTGTGTCCTCACCACAGCAGGTCTTCAGAGAAAGCCGACACCAGGGTGTGGTAACCTGCAGACTTCCCACCCTGTGCTGTGCAGCTCAGCGCAGTGTAGCTCAGCGCAGTGTAGCGCATCTTGTCCATTCGACTGTGTTCCTTTAGTTGTTTAGGCAACATGCGATTGCTGCAGTCAGCACGACGCTGAAGGCAGCTTTGTGTTGTCGAAGGTAAAATGACTGGACAGTAAGTTAATGGGAAAGTCTGGCGGGAGGAGGAGGGGTTCTGAGGTGGGGCAGGAGCCTGGCTCTGGTGCTGCCGCTGGAAACCCGAGTTGAGGGCCCTGGGCTGACTCCACTCGCTCCTTCTCATCTCTGAATACCAAGCGTCTGCCATGGTGTTCAGCACATGGAACCTTGTCATCAGAATTCCTGCATGAAGCTGATGTACTTAGTTATACGGATTCTTACCTGTGATTAAGGCCAGACTGGTGGAGCCCCTACTCAGCTTCTTAAAGGGATAGCAGCCTTTATTATTGACAACAGCCCGGGTTTTAACTGAGGAAGCAGAAAAGCAATGGGCCTGGTGGGCGGGGACAGTGCCCAGAGAGAGTGACCAGCAGTGGGAAGGTGGGCGGTTTGGGGGTGGGGCTGCGAGCTCAGGTTCCTTGTGTGGAGTGAGGGCAGCTGGAGTTCCTGAGGCTGCTGCAGGCAGACACGGGACCCTCCCAGTCCTGTGCGCCAGCCCCAGTGTGACCTGCACCCCTGTGTGAGGTGAGGTTGAACTGAGCTGGACTGTCATAACCCAGGGGAGCAGAGCTGAGGAGGCAGGGCTCCTCCTGGAAGGTGGCGGTGAGCCAGGTGAACAGTGAATCCATCAGCTGTGAACTGTGGGCAGCACCCCGGGGTGGGAGCACGAATGGGATGGGGCCCTGTGTCAGATACAGGGGTCTGGGCTGTGCTTGGCTGGCAGAGCCGTGCCTTGGTGGAGCTGAGTGGACATCTAGTGGCCGTCTTGGGGAACCTCACGCTCTCTCTGCTTTCTGAGCTCCATTGGGCTTCTCCGAGGACGCCACAGGCCAACCTGTGCCCATGACCCAGAGAGGGAGAGGGGCTGAAGGTTCCAGTCTGCCCGGGCAGCGGCCATTTCCTCCTTTCTCCCCTTCTCTCTAGCCACCCAAAGCAAAACCTCCACTCCCCTCTGCAGAGGTCAGCTGCAGCCCAGGTCACCTGTGACCGAGCACGGGCTCTGCTGATGCCTCTGGTGGCCTGTGGAGAGAAGATATGGGCCACAGAGACTTTTTTTTTTAAAGAACAGGATGATTCAAAGGACAACCAGAGGCTGTCCCCTTCCTGTGGTCACTCTGGCTGCTGTGAGGGGAATGGATTGTGGGTTAAGGGAGATGTGGGCAGGAGGGGAAGCAGGGAAGGTGGTGAGGAGGCAGGGGTGCCAGCGAGGCCCGAGGGGGGCTTGGGCAAGGTTTGGGCGGTGGGGCTGCTGAGAGGTAGAGAGATGGAGAATGAGTTTAGGGGTAACAGTTGGCAAGGATTACTTGATGGATTAGATTTTGGGGGTGATTAGATTTGGGTAGTGACAGAAGCCAAGGGTGGGCTCCTAGATGTTTGGTCTTGGCAGCTAGGTGAACGGTGGCATCATATACAGGGAAGATGAGGTGTTTTGAGTAGAAATTGAGGTTTTTGCTTTGAACATGTTCAGTTTGAAATGCTTCTATGAGTCTGCAGCTGAGGGGACAGGACAGGCCAAAGAGGGAAAGTTGGGAGACATGGACGTGTGAGATTGGAGGTGACACCCTCAGGGGAAATGTAGACAGAGGAGCCCCGGGCACTGGCAGGGTGCTCAGACGGGGAAGAGGACCTGGCGAAGGAGACTGAGAAGGAAGTGCTGGAGGGGAAAGAGGAAAGCCAGCAGAGTCACGGGACCGGAGGAAAGTGTTCCGGAGGATGAGGCCAACCAGTTCACCACGCACATGGCAGCTCAGCTGTCACTGAGCTCAGGGAGGGCGTCGTGGAGGAGAGCACCTGAGGGGTGGGGGATGAAGAGAGAATAGGAGGTACCGTTGGGCAGACAACTCTGCAAGTTTTATAAAGGGGCTTGTGGTGCAGGTGGCGTGGGGTCAGGGAGGAGTTTGAGGTGGGTGACGGGAAGCTACGATTTATCCCAGTAGGAATGTTTCAGAGGAGGGAGAAGAATTTCAAGAACAAAGTCCCTTGGTGAGCATGTAACTGGATGTGTGGCAGCTGTCATGGTGGGTGTGACTTGGTGTTGGGAAGATGAGGTATTGTTGTCCGGACATTTGTGCTCTAAGAAGTGCAGGGCCGAGTCACCAGCTGAGAAGATGACAGATTTGAGGGAAGAGAAGAGGGTTGCAATGGCCAATGAGATGTCATTGCAGGGCCCAGCCAGGTTCATCTTGTTTCCATTGTCGAAGTCTCCACCTTGGACCTGAGAAGGCGTCTTACCCAGGCTTTGCTCAAGGCTTCTCTACGCCCACATCTTCCTCTCCCTCTGCTCTTCATTTAGCGTCTCCCCCAGCTGTACAGTCCCCAGTGAGTGCGACCTGAGTTAACAATTTTGAGTCGGCAAAAGCAACACAGGTGGAGTTGCCCCAGGAATGAGACAGGGCCTGTAGTTGGAGAGGTTGCTGAGCCTGCACAGACCAGCTGCCAGGGGCTCACCAGGCAGCATGGACCCAGAGCTTCTCCAGGCCATTACACTGAGGCAGACTGCGGCTCACACCATAGTACGGCCTCAGGAGCCCCTCTAGGCAATTCCCTTTCCATGGGGCCTTTGAAACTCACAGGTAACATGGAAGTGTGATACCTAAGTTGTGGGGACCCACCGAGGTGTGATATATGTGAAAGGAGATGATGAACATCTGTCAGCTCCGTTCTGTTTGGATTGCCGTCTCTGCAACCATGCACCTAATTCTTGACTTTGCATTTTTCCTCCCAGAGAGTGAAAATCCTCAGGTGACTTAGACTCTGGAAGGAAAGGGCGTGGGCTAGCCCTGCTCCTCTCAATCTGATTACCTCGGTCAATTTATTTAACCTCACTCTGCTTAACTTTAGTTCACTCATCAGTAAAGTAGGGTAACAATCAGACTGATAAGATCCCCATTTGTTGGGTGGGGGGCGGATAAAGACACATTTGTAATACCTTAATCAATAAAAATTAAAAAAAAAAAAGATCCCCACTGGGTACGGGGCCCAGGAGACATTCACATTCAACAGATTTGAGTCACCATATACTTGAATGTTTCCTGTGTGCCAGGCACTGCACTGACCTCATGGTGTCTGGATATTCTCGTGTGTGGAAGGCAGACCAACAGTAACCACATCCAGGCTCTGGGCATGAGTGCCTGGCAGGGATGGAGACTGACTGTGGGGGGTGATGGCTCTGTCTAGCAAGGTCTCTGGTGACATTTGAACAGACTCCACATGCCACCCAGGGGTCTCAGCTGGCAGCTGTCACCTGCGAGAGTGCTTCTGGGCAACATTCCCTGCAGCGCGCCGGCTTGGGTGTGGAGCTGGCTGGTGTTTGGGGAGTTTCTTGGTGGCTAAGCCTCGCTCTGCTTCTTTCCCAGGGTTTAACTCCCTCGTGGGAGGCGTGATGGGCTTCTCTATTCTTCTGAGTGCGGAGGTATTCAAGCATAATTCAGCGGTCTGGTACCTGGATGGCAGCACAGGTGTGCTCATCGGCCTTATCATATTTGCCTACGGGGTCAAGTAAGTGCCTGTTTTCCTATTTGCTTTCCTGGCATCCAAGAGTGTCCCATTATCCACCCCTGATGGTCATACCTTGTACCAGGAACCCCCCTGAGCCTACGTGGGGCCAGGTGACTGGAAAAGCTCACATCGGAATCAGAGAGTCTTGTGGCTGGCACTGAAGTGGGGCAAGGACTTTGACCAGAGGTATAGGCTTTAAGTCACAAATGGGCACCACTGCTGGGCTGAGGACTCCTCATGACCTCTGGCTGTGAAAACCAGTAGGCACCTGAGTGAGATGGGGCTACTGGGGTCTCAAGAGTTCATCTTGAGGGGCCTGCACATGGACTTACTCACAGATTCATTTCTCTGGGTTTCAGTGCAAGGTCAGCTGCTTGAAAAGTGCCAGGGACATTCAGGGAAAAACTGAACAGACTAGCTCCAGGGTGAGGGCTGGAGGGAAAGGGGTGAGGGCAGTTCTCTCCAGGGATGGAAGTGCTGGCAGACAAGATTGCTTTGCTGAGCCCTACTGCACTCAGCCATCAGTCCCAGGTGGGTGCCAAATCCCAGCTCTGCATCACCTTAGCTAACACCATTTGCCCCACCCTGGTATTTCTCTGAGACCCCACCCCACTCAACTCGAATTTCCAAGTGCTTCCAATGGATCTTCCACACAAGTCGCCTGCCGTGGCTTACGCTATGGACTTATCTAAAATCCCTCAAAGTCCCACAAACCCCATCCAAGCAGCAGCTAGCCTTGGCATGCCTGGCACAAGAGGGGGTATATCTCAACTTGCACTGTAATTCCCATCAGGGGGCCCCAAGCCTGAAAAAACTGTCCAGTGTGGACTTGGAACTAACTTCAACTAAATGGCCGTGAGCCCAGCACACGTGGTGCCATGTCAGCACACATTGTGGTGCCACCAAAGGCTCCCAAGACTAAAGCTAGTGGCAGCCAGCCTTGATTCACAGCGCAGCCTCTTCCCAGTGCCTCCAAACCCAGCACAAGTGGCAACAAACCACAAAGACTTTGTCGCTGTGACCAGATGGCCTCAAGCGTGCACTGGAGCCCCTCCTAAGAAGCCCCAGAACCAACACACCTGGGGCCAACTTTAGACTCTATCAGGGCACCACCAACTAGCTCCACAAATGACTCATCTGCAGGGTGGAAGCAGCTGGCAAAAAAGCCCCACTAAAATGACTCCCTATGTGATTAGCTTCCACACAATAGCTTGTCTGCTTTAGTCATGTAGCCTGAAGGTCAGTCCCACCCACCTGATGTGCCAACAGGGCTCTACCCTGGAGGGCATACACAACCCACAGGACACTCCTGTAGCACTTGGCTCAGGTGATCAGGGAGACTGTGCCACTGGGCCCCACAAGACACTATATAAGGCCATTCTACCAAGACTGGGAAATAGCAGATCTACTTAACACATACAAGCAAACACAGGCAACCAAAATGAGACAAAGAACAGGAGGAAACTCTAGAAAAAGAGCTAAACAAAATGGAAACTCTAGATGCAGAGTTTAAAACACAGGACTGGATTATTGATCTGGAAGACAATGTAGTAGGAAACACCCGATTGGAACTGCAATAAGAAAAAATATTTTAAAATGAGGATAGTTTAAAGGATAATATAAAGAATAACAACATTTGCATCACGGGGGTACCAGCAGGAGAAGAGGGAGAACAAGGGATTAAAAACCTACTTGAAAGAAATAATAACTGAAAACTTCCTAATCTGGCAAAGGAAATAGGCAGACAAGTCCAGGAAACACAGAGAGTCCCAAACAAGACGAACCCAAAGAGGTCCTCACCAAGACATATCATAATTAAAATGCCAAAGGTTAAAGGTAAAGAAAGAATCTTAAAAACAGCAAGAGGAAATCATTCCATTACCTTTAAGGGAGCTCCCATAAGACTGTCAGCTGATTTCTCAACAGAAACTTTACAGCCAGAAGGGATTGGCACAAAATATTAAAAGTCATGAAAAGCAAGGACTGACCACAAAGGTTACTCTATATCATTATAACCAAAGCAGGCAAGAAAAAGCTAAAGGAGTTCATCACCACTAAACAAGTGTTATAAGAGATGTTACAAGGGACAGAATGGCTATCGTCAGTAATCAAACAAGTGTTAACAAGGATGTGAAGACAAAGAGAAGCCTTGTGCACTGTTGCTGGGATTATAAATTGGTACAGCTACTGTGGATAATGGTATGGAGGTTCCTCAGGAAATTAAAAATAGAACTACCATGTGACCCATAAATCCCACTTCTGGGTATTCATCCAAAGAAATTTGAAACATTAATTAGAAAAGACATATGCAGCATTATTTACAATAGCCAAGATACTGAAGCAACCTAAGTGCCCATGGATAGATGAGTGGATAAAGGTGTGGTACATATATCCAAAGGAATATTACTCCGCCATAAAAAGAATGAAATCTTGCTATTTGCCACAACATGGATGAACCTAGAGGGCATTATGCTACGTGGGATAAGTCAGACAAAGACAAATACCATATGATTCCACTTATATTTGGAATCTAAAGACAAAATATAGGAAAAAACAAAACAGAAATAAACTTTCAACTTCACACTTTAAACAATCAGGTAAATTATAAAATAATAGTGTGCATGTTTACTTTTACAAATTAAATATTCTCTTAGGGAAAATCTATTAGTGGTTGGAGGTAGTTGGGGAGGGAAAAGGGAATAATGCTGGTGGGTTTCTTTTAGGGATGAGGAAAATGCTCCAGAATTAGGTGGTGGTGATGATTGGACAATGTAAGCAAATACTAAACACCACCAAATCATATACTTTCAAAAGCTGAATTTTATGGTATGTTAGTTGTTTTTTTTTAATTGCCTCTCCCATCTGCTTCCCCAAGCGCTCAGACCCCAGGGCTATGGGGTGTGCTGGGTGACCTGTGTGTGTCCTCTGCAGACTCCTCATCGACATGGTGCCCAGGGTGAGGCAGACGCGCCACTACGAGATGTTTGAGTGAAGGGCCCGAGCGCCAGTCTGCATCTGCATGAAGACATCAGGACGACGAGAGGGTCCCACACGGCGGACGGTGCCAGTATTTAGCTGAACATCCACTTTCTTATTTGGAGAGTTTGTGTTCACGGGAACAGGCGTGCCCAGCAGGTTGGTCTGCACTGCTCCCCTCACCCACCTCCCCCGTCACCCATCAGGACGCCGTCCACAGGAGGGGACACTGGTTTTCCCATGCCCATTGGGAACTGGCTGTTTCTGTTTTCTGGAGTAAAAAGGTTCCTGTGGGTTAGGTAAGGTCTCTGCTTGGCAAGAAGTTCTGAAACAGAGCCACTGACCACACCCGCCTCCTCTGGGCATGGAGCAGCTCCAGCCCTCGGAGCTCATCTCTCCAGCAGAACTGAAGGGAAGACCGTGTGTACCCTTCTGTCCCTCACCCTTCACATGCCCAGAACCATCAGTGTCGCACTTCCTAATTCCTATCACTGTATTTCATTAGTTTCATAGTGTTTTACTTATCGTGAATCTAAACAGATTGGTTCAAAGGTGATCGTTCTATTTTTAAAGTATTTAGTGATGTACGTGTGAGCTTTGCATGGACGAACTAAGCACATGACCCTTTCTTGTACATCAGAACCTGCACACACATGTACAAACAGGACCCGTTTTTGACAGATGTGAAACCACCGTTTATTTGTAATAAATAATTACACAATCTACCCACATGTGCAGGCATCTGTGTTGTCAGGTGGCTGTGGTACTTTGGCCTGTGAGAGGCGGCTGTCAGGACGAGCTGTCTGCAGCTTGGGTAACGTTAGGTATCAGTTCTGGGAGAATGGTCCCCACACCCATCCGTACTGCAGCACTTGCTGCTTGTCCAGGCGACTGTCTGGCCAGTAGAGACCGCGCCCTGTTTTGTGTGGCCCGGGAGGTGACCTTTGAGTGTCCCTGTCACAGGCAGGCTTGCTGTATGGCTGAAGGACGACATGGAAGGGTTGCTTGTTCCGGGTAGAGTGTGAGTGGAGACCCTGAGGATTGTGGGTTGCGTCTGTGGGGAGGCCACCCATCGCTCTGGGGAGGAATGGCCACACACTGATGTGCTGGTGCCTGAGGCCTTGGAACTGACCTTGCCTGGGACTGAGGGATGGCTGTCCCAGACCCTAACTCCCCCTCCCACGCCCCACTCCCACTGCTCTGCTCCAGGCTGATGAAGGGGAGGTGGTTTGGTCTGGGGGCCCCTGACCTTGGTGCAGCCTGGCGCTGTCGGCCAGCTTCCTCCACAGCGCGTGGCAGAGGGCTCTGCAGGACACGAACACGGACCTGGTAAAGGGCCGACTGCTTAAGTAGGTCGGGGGATGGGAGGCTCAGTGGTGTCTTTCCTGAGGTTTCCTGTGTATTTAATACAGCATGGAAGCTCCGAGGGAAGCAGGATTAGCCCCCTAAACGTGCATGCTCGCCTTCTTCTCAGACCTTTCTGGGACTGGTGTTCAGGAATCATGTCGTCCCTGCGACTCCGTATCCAGGAACTGTGTGCTGTCCCTGCTCTGGGCAGAGCGTGAGAGGCTGTGCTGAGGCTGGGCCACGCCTTCCCCCAGCACCACCTGCAGCAGCCCCTGGTGTGCCTACAGACTTGAGCTTGTTTCCAGAGCAGGTGCCTAACCCAGTGCATGAGGGAAATGCATCAGGTCTAACAGGCCCTCACCTTTTTAGGACTATTTCACTAGCACATCCTTAATGATGTTCAAGCATCTGATGTAGTACAGTTACCTCAAAAAAAAGGCCCTGTCTAGGGCGTGCTCTGAGATGAGTATGGGTGGATGTGAGGCAGGGAAAGAACACACCAGTGAAACCGTCCTCCACTCCTTAACCGTCACGGTCTCTCAGCCTTTCCGGCGGTGTCTGCAAACGGTGAGACGCAGGCAGTGGATGCCAGCGCTGGGGTGCAGCTGGCGTCCTGCAGGTGACCCTGCACCCACCCAGCCCCCCAAAGATCACTCCTACCTGTCACACAAGAAAAGTTTATTGAAAAATAAAGTTCTCCCTAGTTTTGTCTACAACAGTGGAAAACAAAGCAGTGCGCTATGCAGGTACAGTACGTTGGGACGTGTGGACAGTGACACCTCGTTGGCAGAACCCTGCACTAAACCCCAGAGTGAACCAGGTGCTGTTTGAAGACACAGATGTGAACGGTCATTAGCTTAGAGACATCAAGTTGTGACAGCAACTACAGTAGAAGGGACATCACCATCTCCTTTGGCATCGACTGTTCCACTGTTGTCCTATTAACACCTGGGCAGGACAGTGAGCAAAATGCTTCCCAACTTTGCTCCGTCTCCCCGTGGGCAGAAGTGGCAGACTACCCAGGTTCCCATGCCGCTGTCCCAGCCAGGCATTCAGGCCTCCAGCCTGGCTGACGTTCTCTGCGTGCCGCAAGCCCCCAGACACACCTGACGTCCTATGAGCACTCGCTGGCCGTGGTCCCTCTGCCAGGTCTCACCAGCTGCCGGCGACTGGGGGAGTTCATCTCAAGGCTCCCCAAATCAGGGATAGAGGAATGATGCTTGGGAGAAGGTGAATCCCAGTCTTACACCCGCAGAAGTCTAGGGCTGCCGATTCAGGTGACGAGAAAACAGGAACTCGGACACAGGGCTCCAGCAAACTCCTCCACACTCCACAGTGCATCTGTCCAGAGGAGGACCAAGACAGGCAAGGAGACGCAGCTCCAATTGGGGAGCAAGAGGCTGGGACCCCAATAAAAAAGTGAACTGATATTTAGGTGACGAGGAAAAAAATCAGTGAACCACCAGCAGCTCTGGCAGTGGTTCTGAAGATACTCTCCCCGGACCACCCTGGCTCCACCGGGATGGTGGTATAGTCTTGGGGTCCCCCGGGCTAGCCGTTGGCCCCGGGGCCAGTGCAAACACCTGACAGCGAACCCGCCCAGGAGTCTGGCCCCTGTGGACTGGACTGTGGAGGAGCCGCCCTGGCCGGCAGGGGATAGCAGGGTCAATCGGTCGCTCCTTTCCCCTTGAAAACAGAAAAGCCTCTCTTACTGCGTTTCAGAGGAACAGTTAACTTTAAGGGGTACAGTCAATGGGAAAATTCACCTTAATTTCTAGCTCAAAAAGCTCCCCAAGGAAAAACTCTGGAACGGTCCAGGAGACATCACTGGGGTGAGGCCCAGCATGGAGCCAAAGGTCACCCTTGCCACTTCCCGTGTGCAAATTCTGCAGCCTCGTTTCATCTGGGGCTGAAGCCAGGCATGTTTTCCAATCAGTTAGTGCATTCAGGGATCCGGCAACGTTCCAGCCACAGGGTGGGCGCGGGACTTGGATGCGCTCCCCCGTAAATCCCACAACAGTCCCTCAACCTTGGATAATAGTGTCCTGTAGGTACAACTTTTGAACCAACTGATAAGGGGTGAGTGCAGCTCTTCTCAAATTTTGTAAAATGCTAATAACATTTAACACTTACTAGGGCCTACTATGTGCCAGCCACTGCTAAACACCGAATCCTCACAAAACCCCTAAGTGCTAAGAGAGCTACGTAATTTTTTTCCCCGTGTCTGAGACTACAGCTAGTTTGGCCGTTTGCTATAAAAACTTGGCTTTCCACTTCTGGTTGAAGCCAACAGGGATGAGAGGGACTGGCCCTCAGCTTCAGGACATCCCATCTTCCTTCCGCAGGAAGCTGAGCCTCTGTGCCCTTCAGCTCTTCACACGGAAGCGCTTGTGGGCCCATGGGGATGGGTGGAAGAGGAATGAAGCAACGTGGAAACTAAAGTGTTTTTAAATAAATAAAACAGTCCAGGCTTCGGCTAGCAACACGTATAACAGAGCCTGTCGTTAGCAAAATAGACTTTTAAAAAACCAAGGAGTTTGGGGGCAGGGGAGGGGGTGGTCATGTCCTGATGACACACACAATCCAGGTAAGCCACCATGGAGAGTGGGTGGCCTGCCTTGGTCTGGTCCACAAACACCACCCGCCTGTGAACAGCACAGTTTCAGTCGACCTCTCACATTCACGCGTGCGCTACCGGCGATGCAGGGGCCCTCCTCCCAGATGAAACCCCGTGCTCACTAAGGAAACAAAAGGGTGTGCATATCCTTCCCCCTCCGTGATGTCCAGCAGATCAAGTGTCTGGGGGCCAGTGCTACTCAGGAGCTCAGCGGGCCCTGTTTCTTTGCAGTGCAACCCCTCGGCCAGGGCTGGCACCTGCCCTGCCACACCTCACCACGTGCCTGGTGGCGGGGAGCCCAGACCTAGGGGTAGGCAGCCGTCCCCGGCCCAGACGTGACCAAGTGGCCTGGGACGGTGTGCGCTCGTCTGGAGGGAGCCAGCACTTCTCGGGGTTCTCACTGCTTCAGGGGGGTGAATGTGCATATACGTGCTGGCCGAGGGCGCTGGAAGGGCGTTTCTGGTGCCCAGCTGAGCGTCCACAGTGACACAAGGACAGGTCCTGTCTCCAAGCTGAAGGAGTCTGCACCAGATTCCAAAACCAACCCCAAAGAAAAGTGAAAAGGCACCTCAGAGAAACAATAAATATCAAACATTCGCAACATTCCCAAACATACAGCAAACACAAAAAAGGCAAACTATACACAGTGACAAAAACCCAACGTAAGCAAAGACGCAAAAAACCTTTCCCTTTGTTCAAGTGCAAGTCCAATTACATACGCGGAGTAAATGAGGGGTCCACTGACATTAAAAGCAGCGTTTCCTCTTTAGGAGCTTTTACTCCTGAAAGTCTTTACATATCAAAGGAAGCCTTTCTCTCTCTGAATAAATTAGATAAATGTTTCCCCTCAAGTTTATTTTTTTAGGAATTTAAGATCACAGTGGGGGAAAAACGCCAGATTTCACTTAGGAAGAAATGTACAAAAACGTACAGGCCAGGTAAGGTGTGCTCATAGCCAGGGAGACGGGTCCGGGCGTAGGCCCGTGTGGAAGTGTCTCCAACCACAGGTTGGTTTAGGACTCTATCAGGAAAAATCGCCCACACTCTGAGGTGCCCTCCACCCCAGGCAGGCAAGAATCAAGTCCCTACTGGGTGTGGACCACTGCTGACCTGACTTGGGCCAAGTTAGGGTGGTGGGGGGTGGCAGCCAGTACCTGTCCAGTGTCACTGCCTCTGTCGATACAGCCTTCAACAACTGGGATGTAAGTCATTGTGCCCCAGGAGCAGCGGACCCTTCTCTCTCCCCGTGGAACTGCCTCGCCTCAGCCAACACTGGGCTGGCAGAAGCTGAGGCACCTAATGGGGAAGGTGCCCTGCTGGGCACCTGAACTGAGGCTCCTGACACAGGAGTGGGAAGGTGGGGAGGCCCTGAGCTTGGGCAGCCTGCAAGCATTCATTCCTAGAAGCTTCTGAAATACAAGGCAGGCACCAAGTCTTTCCACAGAATGTAGCTTCCTAGTTTCCACGCTCTCTGAGTCCCTGTGCTGGTTTAATAAACAGCTATCCGCAAAATGGGTCTGAGCTTGGCAAACAGGTCTCGGCCCGCAGGCGCCCCCTGCTGGTCGGATGCCTGCACTGACAGCCTCACCATTGGGAGCTCCCAGAAGCGCCCAGGAGAGGGCAGCACGGGCCCAGGAATTGTAGGCCTGGGAGCTCAATCCAATTCCCACCATTTAGGGTGCGGCCAAGAGGACCATTCACAGAGAAAAGCAATTCCTAACAGCAAGGAAGGCAGTTGTTGCCCCTCCTACCGCAGGAAACTGCCCTTGCAAAGCTTAAAAGAACACACACCCACACTCACTCACATCCTATTACCAGGTTCCTTTCTTGTGTCCTTGCTGCTGGGCCGGCCTCCCCATCAGCACTCTCCCTTGCACATGTGTTCAGGGGTCACCTGAGGGGTGGGGAGGCCCTGGCTGCCCTCCTACCCCCTCCGCTCTCTAGGATTGGAGCTGGGATTCAGACACACTGAGAGTCCAAGTGAAAATGGCCAGCTGTGCATTTGGTGCTATTTGTGCGGAGGGAAGAACTGAGAAGCAGGCAGAATCTAACTCCCCACCTAAAGGCGCCGCACTCCCTCTGTCCTCCTGAAACAGTCCCTCCTTTAGTCTCACTTCTCAAAGGCCCATCCGACACTCATCTTGCCAACTCTTTGCCAACCGAGGCGGGGCGGCTGCCCGAGGGCATGCAGGGTGCTGGGAGGCTAGGGCCACAACCGAGGGCTGGGTGGACCCCAACTACTCATTACAGGGAGACTCTAAGAGGGAGGAGAGGGCTCACTCTTACCGCGTGGGGCTGCCAGGGCTTCCTAGGAAACGCACACCCAAAGCACTGAGCTGCCTGGTGCGGGCGGGGAACCCAACAAAGCAGAGCGCAGGGCCTGGAAGTGGGGGCGGGGGCGGGGGGGTTCCAGTGACTCTGACCAGGCCAAGCTACCAACGGGCTCATCCCTCAGAATACTGGTGCCTGGGCTGAGAGCCACCCCACCCCCACCCCCACAGGTGATCGGCCAGGACAGCAACTCATTTTCACCCTGCCCTGCCCCTGCTCCCCCAGCCAACATCAAGTTTGCCCAGAGCCCCATTCCCTGGGCTAAGGAGGTCCCAGGCATTCAAAGGAATGTAATGCAAGCCCAAGGTTTGGATCCCAGCTCCAGTGGTGACACCAGGCCACAGGGGCCAGTTCACTTGTCCACTCCCAGCTCAAAGACAACGCTTGTAAGGGGTAAACATCATGACTAAGTCCAAGGGTAGTAGCTCTTTCGGTCCTGGTCCTGCCTTTCGGGATTTACCACCAACCACCAGATGTCAATTTCCCAATCATGTACTTCGTTCCCTGGCTGGGTTGTCCCCCACATCTGGGGGTGCCTGTTCTGTAGCTGCCACCAAGCACACACACAAGATTTTCTTCTCTTCTGCCACCACCTGCTTTGAGGAGCTATGTCCCCACAGTGCACCCCGCCTCTCCCTCCTGCACCCACCTGAAGGGGACAGAAAACTATTACAGTGAAGGTGGATGGTAAGCAGTGGGAAATCAAAGAAACAAGACCTGTGATCAGTTCCTCTCTGCCCTCCCCTGGCACCCACCCCCTCCCAAATAAATAAGTTAATGGATTTAGGAATGTTCCCAAAGTTCTTGCCAACCAGCTCAGTTCCCCCCTGGTTTTGTTTTGTTTTAAATGAATCTTGAGATTCACGCTCTGCCCTGGAGCAAGTGCATTGAGGGATTCTCCCTGCAGTTGCTCCTCAAAAAATAAAGTTGTGCGGGGAAGAGCAGCCAGGATCCCGGCCTGCCGTCTGCCCGCCTTTGGTTTTGGTGAAAATGCCGCTGTGAGGTGCTGACCACAGCAGGAGTGATACCACATCGAAACCTTCCACCAAAAAGTTCAGGCTCTGGCGAGAGTCCCTGAATGACACCTGCCCCCCTGGCTCTGCCAGGAGGGGGCTGGAGCCGCTGTCTTCCCAGCACAGTGTGTGCAGGGCCAGCTGGTGGCCCCTAGAGACAGTCTTTGCAGAGAGCCACCTGGCCCTTGATGAAGTCCCGGCAGGGGCAGATCCTCCGGTGCCTGGGGTGGGCGCCGGCACAGCTGAACAGCAGGAGGTCACCTTGAAACACACAGTGCTTGTTCTTGGGGTCAAAGGAGGGCACCAGGATGTCCTTGGCCAGCTCTGAGCTTTGGCAGACCACCTCGTACCTGGAGAGGAAAAGCACAAGGTTGGAGGTGCATGGACTGTCCTCGTCACCGGCTCCTCAGCCCACCTCCTGAAGTGGGGAGCATGGCTGCTTCTCCTGCTTTAAACAGACAGCAGCCAGTACCCTCTGACCCAGCCGGTCTCCACCCTCTGACCCAGCCAGTCCCCACCCTCTGACCCAGCCAGTCTCCACCCTCTGACCCAGCCAGTCCCCACCCTCAGACCCAGCCAGTCTCCACCCTCTGACCCAGCCAGTCCCCACCCTCTGACCCAGCAAGTCTCCACCCTCTGACCCAGCAAGTCCCCACCCTCTGATCCAGCAAGACTCCACTCCAGGGATGGGGCTAGAGAGAGGTGTGTGCCTGGATGTGTGTGGGAACACACATTCAAGGCTGCTACCTAAGTGTGAAAGTAAATAAGCCAAACACCACGTGGGGGATGGGGAAGTCAACTTGGTGCGTGTGCTTCGGGAGTTGTAGGCAGCCCCTGAAACAGGACGAGGTACAAATGAAAGTGGCAGTGCAGAGCTGTCCTGCAGGAGGCAGATCGCAGAACAGGAGGCAGAGCGTGACCCAGCTCCACCTGTGTGTTTGTGCGTGCGCGCATGTGAGTGGGCGAGGGTATGAGTGTGTAAGAACGTGTGTGTGTGATGTATGTGTATGTGCATGTGAGTGGTTGAGAGCATGAGTGTGTCAGAACGTGTGTGGCATATGTGTGTGTGCCTGTAGTGGGTGGGAGTGTAAGTGTGGAAGAACTGTGTGAGTGTGTGTGGTGTGTGCATGTGCGTGCATGTGAGTGGTTGAGAGCATGGGTGAGAACGTGTGTGTGGTGTGCGTGTGCAAGTGAGTGGGTGAGAGTATGAGTGTGTATAAGAAGGTGTGTGTGGTGCATGTGTGTGTGTAAGAGAAGGTGAGTGTATGTAATGTGTATATGTGAGACTGTGTGTGTGTCTAAAAGCCAAGAAGGCTATACATTAAAACCGTAACAATGGTTACTTCTAAGGAGCAAGACTGGGGCAAAGTCGTGTAAAATTTAAATACAGGGTGTCCCAAAAAACTACATATACATTTTAAGAGCTGATAACTCAATTTTGAAAATGAAATGATTTTAATAAACACTACCTTTATAATTATTCAAAGTGTGGCCTCCTTTTTGGACACCCCAATTTTTACAGCTATGTTGAATGTTTTTATTGATGGCTCACAAAGATTCTAGCTGCATGGCCTTGGCCTCTGCAGC